CTCTTTACAAAAACCAAGTATGAATTAGCGGATCGCAATCCGCTTACTCCAAGAGTAATTATTGCCTTACCAAGGCTAATTGACTCTTCGGTTTAAAATCCAAAAATGAGATTTATTTATTTTTATCCTGGTTCTAAAAGTTTAGATTTTTCTAAACATACTAAATATATATAGTAAAACCCAAATACATGCATAACTACTGGCTATCTAGCCCCGTACCGTATTCTTGTTTTGGAGTGGTCACACCATGGATATCTCGTGTGACACACTCCTGTCACCAGGGTACGTGTAACCCCGTTACAGCCGCTATCACGAGTGCGATATAGACACATGGACTGCTGGACTTACGCTACGTAGTACATACATTTTATATGATGACTGTAGAGAAACATATTTAGTATTACTGAAGTATTAGTTTATAATATGTCGGTTCTAGAGCCTACTAGTATTTAAATATTTTGGAGGCTCTCGGCCCGCTTCTGGGATGTGTGAACGAAGCAAACCTCGGCACGTTTGCCAGCGTGGACTTTGGCGATCTATAAGAGATGCACAGCACCCCCAGTTAAGTAATTATCGTCATCCAAGAAATTTTATGTCTGTATCATTTGCAAAGGTAGAACGCAATATGTATCTGCTCGCGGACGAACTGATACACTTAGTACAACTAGTTCTGAATGGACAAGACAACCGACGACCTAGGGATTGAAAGCGGTTATCGCTCACCAGTACGATAATGCGCTAGTGATGCACTTTTTGGAGCGCTTCAGGCAGACGTTTGTGGAAGCACAACTGATTCTCTTCAATGATAAGAGTATGCTGAGCGTCAGCTCTTTGGGGAAAAGAGCGGGAAAATCTCCCTCTGGACAAGTAAGGTCGAAATTCGGTCATGCACCAGACAGAGTACCAGCGAGTCGCTCTAGCAGCCTCCGAGTTAAAGAGGCTGTGCGCAGAGTGGGCTTAAAGAGTGTTGCAGCGACAGATGTCGCGAGTATCCACTCCGCCTACCTAGGCTACTATGTGCGCTCAAACCCCTGTTTGAAAGACTATATGCAATAGTTGAAGTCTCACATCACCGCAATAGCACAAATGTTTATCTCGGACGCGATAATGGTTGCCATATCGTAATATCCTACAGACAGGTTCGACTTGCACTGATACCTTCCGCGTAAATTTTGCCTCTTTGACGATTCAGTGGGTGTCACATTGAGCGCGGAGTACAACTTTTGTGCCTAGCAAGTCGATTGAGGTGCAGGAGGTAAGGTCTCCTTGACAGCGCGAGAGGCAATAAACCTCAGCCATTGTGAGACAGAAAGATTAGAGTGATCTTTTAGCAGGCTGAGCGCTCGCAGATACTAGAACTCTAGTAGTGCCAAACAAATATGTTATGGATGCCTCTTCCCTCTCGATCAAGATAAAAAAACTTGAGATTTCTCAAGGGGCTATCCGAAATATCCTTCACGGGAGCCGTCGAGCCCCAGAAGCACAGAAATAGAGACTGGGATTTCTTGAGCTCCTTTAAAGAGTTGTGGTCGACGAGATCAAATTTTCACACAAGCGACACCCTCATATAAAGCTGGGACTGACAACTGCGGATTGTCGGCTATCAATATCAACATTCCAGGATTTTAAAGCCGTGGAAACGCCTGATAGAAATTCAATACCTGAGGCTTTACGTGGATATGTCGAAGATTGCCGAATACGGAAATGATACCCGTGCGTCTTGCGACATAAAAACTTAAGCGAGTCGAAGGAATTTCGGGTCATGTCGGATATTTGTAAATGTCGACAGCGTGGAATGTCGAAATGCTGTCTCGTCCAATCTTTGGATCTTAAATGCAATCTTATTATAAGTATTCATTTTGGGAGCTAGAGTGTGCCACAAACTTGACTCCTTGCTCAAGTATCATGCGCCCAGCTTTATAAGCAATTTGAGCGCTTTGACACGCAGGCATAAAAATGCAATATCCTTGGTGCAGGATATGAATTGTCTACATTGGCTAGTAACGACAGTGATGAGCGCATTAGCAAAGATAAGTGGTAGAATATGCCTAGAGCCGTGGTGTCAGGAGAAGACAGTCTAAGCAATCGTGTACGGGGTCGATAAAGTGCATTATTGGCTGTAAGACTTGGCTCCAGGAATGAAGCTATAGTGAGATGTTGGTAGCAGGTGTCTTTTGTGCCAGAATCGCTCAAGACGAATAAGAAACAACATTGTATCGTGATCTCTTGAGCCAAAGAAGATAGTCACGGGCGATTAATATCGCAAGTGAAAGGGCCAGGTGGAAAATTTATGCAGAATAGCCCATTATGTCACGATTTTATAAATATTGCTGAGTCCGCTATCATCTGACGCACCCGCTGAGCGTCCGTGCGGAGCAGAGAAACTCAAATGAGTTACCGTTGAGTGGAGGTTATACATCCTCCTCATTACTTTAGACTAACGTCTTAATTGAAATCAGATCGTACTTCAGGAGCTACTTTTAAAACATTGAAGGCGATGAAGTCACCGAAATGGTGCAGTGGGTTCCGAAACTCATAATCTGACATGGTCGAGTTCGTCATCGAGGATATTCGAGGATCACTGAGTTTAAGGAGTGTGACAGCTATCCTCAAGTATTAGTCAAATCTAATTTATCATTTATGGAATGGAAATCATGACTTGATAAAGAGAGACCCTTCACACGCGTGTTGAAGCCAGATTAGAAATTCGCCATAACACTGACCTGCATTGTGGAATTATATACTGCGTCACACATCAATGAACCTACAAAGGGAAATTTTGACGTCACAGTTGCTTTCATCCGTGCAAATCACGAAGTGCCTCTGACATTCTTCCTTGTGATGTCCAGAAAGGCTAACGGCAAGCGGAGAAACGAGAATGCTTATATTAAGCTATAAGCTAAATGCAGCCAGTATTTTGGCAAAAGTATCATTACTTGACATGACGTGCGCGAGAACCACATTATTGGTCGAAATGCTCTTGATCTATTGATGGGTAAATTTGTTGTTCACGAGAAACAATGATATCCCCCACTGCGCAAAAAAAACGCCAAGATGGACACAATGAGGGTGGGATATCCCAGATACTGTCTAACGCACCTGCGATATTCAATCGTCTGGCTATAGTGTTAGCAGTTCGTTGTTGTGGACTCATGTTGGTCTTTCAGTAGGCGCGTTTAGCAGTCTCGGCGTCTGAGTACAACGGCTTATGTCACATTTGCCATCGACACCGTTATCAGGGAGACCTTATAAACGGTTCCCCACAAAAATTATTGCCAGCATCGCTTCAGGTAGCTATCGACTCGAATTAAAACATTTCACATACCAATAATCAAGCAAAATGCGTTACTCGCGTTCCTTAGAAGCACTTAAGCGAACGGAAGACCAAGATGCGAGAGCGAGGTGCCCATACTTGTCGAGTTCGCGCCGATTAATGAAGTAATTTTTTTACATATTATTCCCATTATGAGAAATGTTTGGATACTTTTCCTGCTCTTTTGACATTACCACAAGGTAGGTCCAGTCTTAATCGGAAGATCTATTTATACGATTCGCCTCGCCATTACCGCCTCATATTAGGATGCTATGACGATAGAATTGAGCATTATGCATCGAACTTGCTGCTTTGAATCCGGGCCAGGTTGTGCAGAGCCTACATACAAAGGTCAGAGACTGATCAATGTGATATTCTTAAAGCATCTTGCTGTTAGGATTCATTTGGATAAGTAGTGCTGTACCAAATGCAAAGTTGTGTCTTGTAGCTAAGTAACCCTGTGAACTGCTTAAGGTGCTCAGTACAAAGGCGTAGCTTACTGAGCGCAAATGTAAATCGGCTCGTCTCAGTATGGGCCGCGCGTCAACTTTCGAAAAAATCCTCGGCTTGCCACTATAACCACAACAGCTCAGGAGATCCATTCGCAAATCGGTTGTTATCCAACGTCACCACTTAAAATGGAAGTATGTGGCCTAATACCACGCAGATCGAACAGTGGATCATGACTCTTATTACTGTCTGAAGAAGTGAAAATGACAACTTCACGCAAAAATTGTGGGCGTTCGGGTTTTTAATCTATCAGGTTTAGCCTGTCGCCATTAGAACTATCGCCCTGGTCGTGCAGTGGGAATACAGAGTTGCCCAAAATAAAGCGCTCATCACTTGCAAGGGAAGCATGGCCTTCTACTAAGCTCATCCCTCTCCGATAGATGTGCCCGTAGGCTAATGGAGACCAGAGGGCTGTTGACAGCAAGTACTAGAGGTATTGAGCATTACCTCGGTCCACGTCGTGCTTTGTACTTCTTAAAGTCATACATTATGCGACGCATTAGGTTGACGTAAGCTCTACCAGTGCTACCTCATAGAGCTTTTAGACGATAAGACAACCTTCTCCTAAGTGCAGTGCGTGATTCTGTAACATTTACTCCGGCATTTTTTCAGCATTCGGAACAAGAAGACTTCTTTGCAAAGAGAGAACAAACTCACCTGACCGCTCCACAGGCAGCGCTTTTTATTTATTGAGACTGCACGATAAGTAACCACGCGCAGAGCAACTTATCATGAACAAAAGGCTTACAAACATAGACGTGTTAGAGCTCCTCCACGGAGTGTTGTGCAGCTTCTAATGGAGTACATCCAGAATCACAACGTGATTGAGTCTACATAAGTCGTAACGACTCTTGAGCTCACAGAAGGTTATGTTTGATTCACTTAGCCAGGGTGCGTTGATCAGTGACGAGCTGTATATATTGTATTTTCCGCGACGGGAGGTCGGTATACTCTTCCCTGGTAAGGAAATAAAAGGAGCGCTCAACTCATGCAGAGAAGCGGCAAAGCACTGAAAGCGTCTTTCCGTGGTAGTTGGGTTTGCCGAATAAAAGTTAACAAGAAAAACGTGCCAGACCGGGACTCATACACTCACCAATCCCGTCCTTTTCAGAATATCTTCTGGCATTATCGCTGAAAATGAACGCATTCTGTTCTGTAGATCACAGAGGCCACGTTTCCCGAGGGATCGTTCAGCAATTGGAGCACGAGAGAGAGTGGACTTTTGATTTTAATGTTGCTCTTAAGAATAAAAATAAAAAAGGCTTAACGCAGTGCTTATGAAGTGTCGGGTGTACCGCCGGACATATCCAAGCCAGTGCCAATAATTCGAAACAAGTATTTCTAGTAGCCACTCGCAAAACGCGTATCACGATCAAAAACGATGGCGTCTGACAACCAGTGATCGCAAATCCGTGATCAATGAGCGATCTAGCCAGACCCTAGACATCGATACATGGGGCGATGCGAACCATCTTGCTGAGTCTGTCGACGAAGACGAGCACTCCATTGTGATTATCAGCATTCTTGGGTAAATCTAAAATCAAGTCGAGACCGGTTGAGTGGGAACAGGAGACTCTTCAGTGGTATTTGCGTGTGCCGTGCACTCTTCACGCACGGACAGACATCGCATGTCTATACGTATCGTGCACCCATTCATACATTCACAGCCACCAAAATTGGGCACTGAGAGATTGGTAGGTCTTTTCACGGCCAAAGTGACCAGCCATCGGCTTATCATGCGTCTCGTACACGATCTTGTGCTTCAAATTATCGCTGTGAAGGACCACAATCCACGGCTCGCCGCCATGTGCAACTTCACAGTAAAGGAGACCATCCTTCAATGAATAACGATGCATCCGTGATTTCAAGCAATCAGGGAGATTACCATGGAGTTTCATATCGCTCGATGAGATTGCCTTGATGATCAGATCACACTGTTCAGCCTGAACATACGCTCAACGTATCATCTTGAAAAAATCGATTTCGATATAGCTGATATGAGCTAGCTCATAATCAGGACTACGTGACAATGTGTCTGCCAGCACGTTTGAGTCTCCTGGCTTGTACGCGAACGCAAAATTTATTCTGCGAAGAATGACAACCAGCAGCGCCATTTGCTGTGACATGATAGGCTACCAACCAGCATAACTCAAGCTTGTGTGAACCGTGTAGACTATAAATAGACTTAGACACAAGCGGTGAATACGAACCTTTACCGAAGCAAAATTCATTGTCAAAAGCTCCTTGTCGCAGACAAGGTAGTTTTTCTGCTGGCTGATGCTGTCACGATTGGAATAACATGACACGGTCGTGTCCACCAGAATTCTTTTGCAATGATGCACATTCGATTGAAAACTCATAAGCATGCTATACAGCTTCATATCCTCCGGTAAAGCAAGTAATGGCACTTCAATCAAGCTGTTCTTGATTTGAGTGAATGCAACTTCACAAGTGGATGACCACTCCCATGGTACGTCCTTCTTCAGCAAGTTTGAAAGGCGCTTGCGCGGTGTCTATATAAGGAACATAAGTGCGGTTCACATCTTGTTTAAGACAAGAGTAGCGAAGTACTAGCCGTTTTTTTATGTGAGTGCAGACTACACAATTACCCCTCGATTTTAGCCCCAAAATACAAAATACTTATGCAATGGGATTTCATCAAAAATATGTGCGTGGGTCACGTGGGCTGTTAGACTCACGCCAATAGTACATGTGTTTTGTGATTGAACATTGAAAAACTTGTTTTACAATAGGTTCAGCTAGGTATCCGATACGAAAATAAGGAAACATAGATCGAGTAGTTTGATACTTCAGAGGCTGTCGTTGCCGCTCCTGAGTAAGCGTACGAACCCATGTTTTGCGCAATTACTGACGTGGGCTCGCTGAGTCAAAACTTTCTCTTTGCTAGATTTTCGGCAACCTTGTCTCAAATGGGTATGTCCACCGATTCAGCCCTCTTTTCTTCTTCACAAAAGGGTTGGGCGCTACTGCTCGATATGACAAAGACAAAAAATCCAACTTATCACTTCGTGGAACGGCAATTGTAGTAGTCAGAACGCGTGAATCTCCAAATCAAGGTCGAAGCTTTTAGTCTACAGACAACCATTTCTCTAAACATGCCACAGACACATAGGATGGTGCCTTTAAGCAATGATAGCAATCATAAATATCTTAGGTACTGTAGTCAGAAGCAACATGGTTTGTAAATGTTTCTTTCAATCTAAGACTCGAGTCAATAATCAGAAACAACAGGAAACGAAGTTACAATAAAGTAATGTTGAGTAATACTGACTACGCACCAAGCATGTTTGTCTACCGGGTGCGTCATCGGGCGCGCCATCTTCACGAATGAACGTTCATACCATTGCTCTGTAAAAAGCGAACCGGTGTGACATTATACCTGAGCCGCCAGAGCTTGCGGAAGTATCCCAAGCAGCAAAGAAGCTCATATAGTTGGAGTTGTTTTGATCCACAACTCTATGATATATGGCATGCAGTCGGCATTTCCCAGGTTAGGGAAGATACGGATTCGTATGGAGTAGCCACGGGTGATCACTTAAGAAGTTTATCGACAGATCAATTGTTGCCCAAAACTAGCCGCTTAAAAACAAATTAAGTGTTGGTGGGCATGGCGGTTGCCCGACGGAAAGAATTTATGCTTGAGATGCCGGTTGATGCCCCACTCAAGATAGAAGAATGATGTCGACATGTGTGTAATGGAAGTCGAAGGATTCGACTGTGGCTGGATATAACAATACCCCCAGTGATATAGTCGTTGAGTCGGATTGTGGGTTAGTGTGTACAACTGATCACAAAGGTTAGTGTGTACAACTGATCACAAAGGTGACGTTCCAAATATGCTGGTTCACGTATTGTGCATGCAACGACTGATTGTGATACTACCAAAGCATATGTTCTTTTGGCATCGTCGCCGACGATGGAAGATACGGTGCAGCTCGAGGTAGTCACTTACGATGACTTCGTACACTACCTTAAGTGAGATGACATTGCGGAGGTCGTATTGCTACAGTCGAAGATCGATCAACGGTGCCACGCTCATCAGCAATTGTGGATGATCGGTTCTCTAGGGTTTCTGACAGCGCGTTGAGTCACAAAGAAGATCTGTTTTATTTTGAGGATCCAACCGATCCTCATTATTCACTTGTTATGGAAAACGAAGTCGCCGTCCTCTAGAAATTGATCATAAACCTGGTTAAAAACATGCAGGGCATCGACGGTGACCACTGTCGCGTCAGCAAAGAGAGGATATCGACGAGTTCTTCGCTCAAATGCAAGCCGCTGGTTTGGTGAGAGAAAGAAAGTCCCTCACAACGCCCCAACGTTTTGTTAGCGTAAATGAAATGGTGGTTGGTGTATCGCTCACGCATATAACAAGTTAACGCGTAAACAATTCCAGCGCAAACGCCAATTGCGCGTAAAGATGTCATCATCCACCGTAAAACCGGCTGTTCATAGTTTAGTGTACTTGATTTGGTCGATGGATCGGACTAAATTCTGATAAGGGAGGAGGACGCCCCTTTAACGGCTGTGAGTACACCGTCGTGTATGTTACTAGAGTGGTTTGTGATGCCACAAGATCCATCCAATGCTGCACCAATGTTCAATCGATTGTTCTCACATCTGTTTCGACCACTGCGACGCTTCGCACAAACATACTTCGACGATATCTTCGTTCATTCGAAGGACGAAGATGACAGATGAAGCACCTTCGTATGGTGCTAGAATGTACGCGTGAGCATTCATTGCGAGCAAATCTTGCAAAGTGTGTTTTCGAAGCTACCGAAGTACCGATCTCGGTTGTTATGTTGGTCAACACAGTGTTCGCGCACTCCCTGAGATGGTCAAAGCAATGGTGACGGGTCAATGCCACGAGCTCATGGGATTTGAGGAAATGGAATGGTTTGTCCAACTATCTACATCACCTTACGCGTAACTACGCGGAAATGGTTTTAAATGCATAGATTTTCCTAAAAATATATAGAACAATCTAAATACATGTATAACTACTGGCTTCCAGCCCCGTACCGTATACTTGTTTGGGTGTGGTCACACCATGCTCATCTGGTATGACACACACCCCCTGTGACCAGGGTACGTGTAACCCCGTTACACTCCCCCGTTAATATTGAAAACATTTACGGTTCCAACCGATTATTGCCTCAACGAGGCTTGAGTGTTCGTTAGACACCGCGTTAGAACGAAACGACTTCCGTGCTCAATGACACCGAAGTCTCCAAGTCTCGCTGGATCCGACAGCGCTCACGGGGAGAGCCCAGCTTCATCCTTCGCACGCGGTGCCATGTTGGACCTGTCTCCGCGGCATCGAGGGATGTAAATCCTAGGCTCGATGAGCCCGAGCGTCGCGCTCCGCGCACACTAACGGTGGCAAGTGACCTCGTTGAGCATATCGCAGCGCGGACGCTCTTGATGATTTAAAACGCGTCGCGAGGCGCCTCGCCTTGAGGACTACCGCGTTCTGTCGGAGCAACTCCTATCTGAAAAGCAGGCAAATGCGTCGCTGCAGGCAACGGTGGGGCGCTTGGCTCCATTGGAGATGGAGGTTGTT